CCTTGAGGACTGAATTCTAAGAGAAGCAACTGAGACGTAAAATACGCCTTGTCAAGCTGAGATTGCAGCTTACAATTTCAGAATTTCTTTGGCATAAGTTTCGTTCTAAAAAGTTATTGAGAGTTTAGTCTACACTGGTGACAAACAGTCTTCCAATATCACACAAGATCTTTGCCTTTACCTCAATTTTGTCAAAGCATCAATGTGAATAGCTAGACTAAATTATACAACTGCTTTGACTAGACTGTTAAAGATGTAGTTTGATTACAATATTTTTTTCTTACTCACTTGATTTTATTTTTACCTGAAATGAGGGTAGTTTTCATTAAACACAGTTTATAAGACCAGTGTAAATGCTAGACCTCAATAGGCTGGAAATAGTATTCCAGCATGCTTTTATTCACGATATTCACCCCAATGATGTCCGTCCAATGGGAAATCTAGAAGCCATAGCCTTCCCAGAGCCTTTGAGGACAACAGAGCTCTCCAGAGAAAGCCAGGGGGGGACCAAGGCATTTATATTTCTTAGAAAATCATCTTTAGATCTAAAACTATTGCCCAGTTTAGTTACTCATAGGAAGAACCTAACAAATAAATATTTGCTGATTGAGTAAAGCTCAAAGTTTAAATTCCTGCCACTTTATAGAGCCTAAAACTCAAAATATCTAATCACATTTCAAGCCACTGAAAAATATTTAAGTTGCAAATTGCCTCGTTTGCATGTGGCATAGAAAGCATCTACCCAATTACTATTGACATTTTTCTGTGGCCCTGGGCGGGTTCGTCACTTCTATTCGTCACAGCAACCAACTAATAAACCTGTTCCCTGCAGTTTATTGGAGAAGTGGTAGCTATTTTCAGGGGCGAGAGACTAAGAGAAGCTGGGGATGGTGGTTATTAATAATAATAAATTATTTATCCAGTGCTGACACTGATGGAGAAGGTGCAGGATCAAAGCTAGACTCCTCTCTGCCTTGAGGACTGAATTCTAAGAGAAGCAACTGAGACGTAAAATACGCCTTGTCAAGCTGAGATTGCAGCTTACAATTTCAGAATTTCTTTGGCATAAGTTTCGTTCTAAAAAGTTATTGAGAGTTTAGTCTACACTGGTGACAAACAGTCTTCCAATATCACACAAGATCTTTGCCTTTACCTCAATTTTGTCAAAGCATCAATGTGAATAGCTAGACTAAATTATACAACTGCTTTGACTAGACTGTTAAAGATGTAGTTTGATTACAATATTTTTTTCTTACTCACTTGATTTTATTTTTACCTGAAATGAGGGTAGTTTTCATTAAACACAGTTTATAAGACCAGTGTAAATGCTAGACCTCAATAGGCTGGAAATAGTATTCCAGCATGCTTTTATTCACGATATTCACCCCAATGATGTCCGTCCAATGGGAAATCTAGAAGCCATAGCCTTCCCAGAGCCTTTGAGGACAACAGAGCTCTCCAGAGAAAGCCAGGGGGGGACCAAGGCATTTATATTTCTTAGAAAATCATCTTTAGATCTAAAACTATTGCCCAGTTTAGTTACTCCCGAAAAAAAAAATCATTCTCAGAGACATTAGGATTGGGGGATTTGGAGTGGGATAGAGGAGAAAGAAAACAGGCAGTTGTCAGTCACACCCTGGTTCATTGCCCTAATGTAGCTTAGAAATGTGCAAAGGAGCTTTTAAATGCGGCCATCCAGTCTCCCAAAGTGAAACCAATACCCTATATTATAGTTGGTCTTTTTAGGCTTCTTGGTCCAAATATATTCCTTCATATTTTCCTAATTTGTGTTATTGTGGCAAAAGACATGAAATGTGCTATCTTAACCATGTTGAAGTGTACAGTTCAATGGTATTAAATACATTCATAACGTTGTGCAAACAACATCATCTATGTCCAGTACTTTTTTGTCATAAATCTGAAATTCTAAGCCCTCAGACAATAAATGACTCCTCATTCCTCCCTCTCCTTAGCCTCTGGCATCCAGCATAGCATACTATCTATGAGTTTCACTATTCTAAGTAGCTCACATAAGTGGATCATCTATTTGTCTTTTTGTGACTGGTTTATTTCACCTAGCAAATTTCCTCGTTGTAACAAAAGCCAAAATTTCCTTTTTAGACTGAATAACATTCCATTGTAAGTAGATACCATGTTGTACTTATCCATTCATCCATTGATGAAGACTTGGGCTGTTTTCGTGTTTTAGCTATTGTGAAGAATGTTGCTTATAAACATGAGTGTACAAATATCTCCTCAGCAAGTAAACAAATGCACGCAGCTGGGGGAGGCTTAGTGCACGTGGGAACATGGGCCGGTACTCCTTAGCACTGCAGCAGACAGTCACGCCACGCGACAACAGAACTGATCACCACGTGCGATGCAGTGTGATCACGTGCTAATCATTCGCTGAACACTGTTTACAAGCGGTGACTCTTGGATTTAAATGTGTAGACTATGGTTGTAGATTTGGAGTGGGATAGAGGAGAAAGAAAACAGGCAGTTGTCAGTCACACCCTGGTTCATTGCCCTAATGTAGCTTAGAAATGTGCAAAGGAGCTTTTAAATGCGGCCATCCAGTCTCCCAAAGTGAAACCAATACCCTATATTATAGTTGGTCTTTTTAGGCTTCTTGGTCCAAATATATTCCTTCATATTTTCCTAATTTGTGTTATTGTGGCAAAAGACATGAAATGTGCTATCTTAACCATGTTGAAGTGTACAGTTCAATGGTATTAAATACATTCATAACGTTGTGCAAACAACATCATCTATGTCCAGTACTTTTTTGTCATAAATCTGAAATTCTAAGCCCTCAGACAATAAATGACTCCTCATTCCTCCCTCTCCTTAGCCTCTGGCATCCAGCATACTATCCCTATGAGTTTGATTATTCTAAGTAGCTCACATAAGTGGATCATCTATTTGTCTTTTTGCGACTGGTTGATTTCACCTAGCAAATTTCCTCATTGTTCAACCATGTTATAACAAAAGCCAGAATTTCCTTTTTTAGACTGAATAACATTCCATTGTAAGTAGACACCATGTTGTACTTATCCATTCATCCACTGATGAAGACTTGGGCTGTTTTCATGTTTTAGCTATTGTGAATAATGTTGCTTATAAACATGAGTGTACAAATATCTCCTCAAAAATCTGCTTTCAATTCTTTTGGGTATACTCTCAGAAGAGAAATTTCTGAATATGGTAATTCTGTTTTTATTTTTTGAGCAACTGCCATACTGCTTTCCACAGAAGCTATACCATTTACATTACCACCAACAGGGCACAAAAGATTCTTTTCTAGACATCTTCCCAACACTTGTTATTTCTTATCTTTTATATTTTGACTAGAGATTTTGTGTCTTATTTTTTAAAGTATTTCCACCATACCTAGGTTATAAAGATAGTCATTTCTTTAAATTTATCTTTATTGACAACCTTTCTTCAAAAGCTTTCAGGTCTTGCGTTTGATACTTACATTTTTGCTATATTTTGTGTTTAGATTTCAAATAAATCAAAACAAGAACCAAATTCATTTTTTTCCACATGGATAACTAAGTTTTCTGTTCTATTTATTGAACAGTCTCTCCTTTCCCCCCAGTGATTTACCATGCCACTTCTATTGTATATCAAAATTTCACATATGCATATAGTTTCATATACGTATATGGTTTTGTTTTTTTAAAAGCTGGTCAGTTTCTTGGCCCCTTCCCTAATTCCATACTATCTTTGTTACAACAGTGCTATAGTAATAAATCTTTATATCTATCAGGAGAAGTCCCACCTCTTCCTCCCCTTCCTTTTTCTTTTTGGAGTTAGACACTAAAATTATTATCTGTCAAATGATCATTTCCCTGAAGGATGGATGCAGTGCTAATGAAGCCAAGGTTGTGTTATCACAATTGTAAAAAGGACAAACAGTTGCAGGATCACAATTTCTACATCCAGAAACATCTTCCTGCTGGCTGTCGGCTGTCATACAGTGTGGTAGAAAGGGGCGACTTAACTATAACCTATTTTCATTATTCAAAATATTGTATGGCACTGTCAGCAGTGACATCTCTATGCTAGACATTGACGCCTCTATGCTAGACATTGACACATCATCACAGCACAAGCTGATGTTGGAGGGTTGGGTTACTGAGCACAGGGCAGGCCTGGAAGAAGAGAGTCTGGATGGGCTCTGGGACACAGTTTCCCAGCAAATGCCAGAGTCTCCAAGAAAATCTGATTGGCTGTCAGTAGATGAAGCAATAAGTACAAGGTAAATAGTTTTTAAGAAAGAAAATATAATTTTGTTCTCCATTAAAGCTTCTAAATATATTTATAACCCTAAAAAGAAAACGGAGAGGAAAATGTTCATTTCCTCAGAGTATGATTTCTTTCAGGCGTTGAGCCTATAGGCCTGCAACAATTTACAACTGAACTGACGTCTTTAATGTGTGAACTTTGAAGCATCTGAAGACATCGCACATGCTCCAGATAAATGTCCTCAGAGACAAGCATGTCACTTGGAAGACTTTCCCCATGAATAACATTACTGACACATGCCCTGACACAGTCTGTCAGATGTTTCCATTTTCAAGTGGGAGAGAAAACCATCTGGTACTCAGAGCAAATAGTCTCAGCTCACTAAGAGAGAAACCCAGTATTTTATTCCAACGGAAACCTAGGAAAACTCAAAGAAAAATAACTCTTTGATCACTAGAGTAATTTTCCAACCAAGTTATCAGACATAATTTTGGTTGAGATGAATGTCCTCTGACATGAAATGCTCTGTTGATCTGGGGTAACTAAAGACAGTCAAGCATTTCTAGTAGTCTATTGAACAGGTAACACAGAAACCCACCTAGAGGCAGGTCGTTAAAGTGAATGTGGAGACTTATGCATGCAATGATTCATTCAAGAGCTATGGGCAGGTACAAGGTTAAGTGTTAGGGACAAAAAGATCATGGTTGTTCTTCTCTCAAAGATTATGGTTCTTCCCTAGGGGAAATATACCAAGATCATTAAGAGCAAGGTTGAAGAGATGGAAAGATCTACACACAAAAAGAACAAAGGGAAGAAACACCTCACCCCCTGGACATCCAAAGATAGCCTCTGGAACCAGGAATAGAGATTCATGCCACACAATTACTTATCAGTTAGTAAGTCTTCATAATAACAACTCTTAAAAAGTTAGTCCACTTTTCAGATGATTCATGGTGGGGTTTCTGTGGGGTTTTTTTCATGATTTTTTCATCCAAAAATGCACTAAATAATTATGCTCTAAGATGTAATAGTTTAAAATTACTAGTTTCAGGCAAAGACACACATGTTTACTCAACATAAATTCTGTAGTCAAAGACGAGCATATGAAACAAATTTGAATTGTGTGCATGTTTAGAATAAGTCGAAACATTTTCCTTTGGGTATGCAAGTCAAGTGAGTGGGGTAAGAAGTTCAGATTGTCTAGGACTTTTCATGAAAAATGTGCATATGCACTTTTTCCATGGGCTTCAAAGCACTCTTGTGTGTTGACTTTATTTTGCCCTAAAAGTGATGTTCTGTGCTACAACTTTGCTTTTAAATGTAGTTTGAGTGCAAGATAACCATGAGCCTCATTAAGTTTGAAAATCTTACGAGGAAAACAGTGCAGAAAGAAAGAATCTACAATCAAAAAGTGATTGTCTCATACCCTTCCACCCCCCAAACTCACCATTAGTCATCTCTTTCCTCATTTAGGACATACAGTCAATTCTCAGTACATTTCATTTTATAGACCCAGTACATTTCTTTACTTGCAAGCTTACATTTTGCCTACATAAGCTTGCTTTTATTGTTTTATTGCTAAATGTTTCTAATTATGGAAATTGTTTTAGGTATCTTATGTTGAGATGGAATATATCATGCTCTTTCTCACTCAAAGTAAAGATCTTTTTCAATTTAACAACTTTTCACTTAGCAGCAGGGTTTTCAGGAAAAAGTTAAAGTTGTCAAGTAAAGAATAAGTGTACAAGTCCGAGTTAGATCTTTGAACACACTTTGGAGTTAGCCAGGAAAATAGAGAATTCAAATGTGAGTGGAGAAGTAAAGGAGTGGGGAGAAAATTTAAGCATGTCAGGCAAGCGCCAGTAAATATATAGAGTAAAGAATAAATGTTTTTATAAAAAAAGAGATAGACTTGATCATTTTTCCTGAGGGTAATTTCCCAGTTTCAAGCATTGAATATCACTAAAAAATCTGCGTTCTAAAGACCACTTTTATAAATAATACAGTAAGCCATTGCATTATAAATTTTTAAAAATATATACATATACTAGTAGGGTGAAAGACAGAGGGTGGAATATTGCCCTAATGCTCAATTATGGAACCCTCATGTTCAGGATAACATTTCTAGGAACAAATCATACATAGATTTTACTTTTAGGCGAATATCACAAATAACTTAGTTAGAATTAAAAATGATTTCTCCTAGGTAAATATTAGTCGACTTTAATAATATTCTACAAATTATGAAGTCACTGATGCTAAACATGCATATGAATAGTTTAAATAAGATTATTTCAAGATATTGTGAGTGTCCAAAGATTTAGCCATATATGCCTCTACCCTATTTCTAGTTTACCTTTATTCTATTTGATTTGATTCACTGTTTTGTCTGAGTTTCTTTTTCTATTCAAGACTATAAGCTTCTTCAGAATATGTATTATATTATCAGGCCAAACCTCTTGCTTGGAACATTAATTTTTGTCAAATTAAATTGCATTGGCATATAATGAAATCATGAACTTAGAGGAGAAAGAACAGATTAGACTTGGTGACCTTCTTTTTGCTCTTCATCATGTCTGAGGTCATAATTGACATGCCATCAATAGAGTATGACTTCAGTTAGGTTCCTGCTTGTAAATGGTTGGCAGGGCAGAAGACAGCAGAGCGGACTTGACTGTATTGGACTTCAACCCATGACCTCGGCCTTTTTAACACAATGATCCAACCAACTGATCTCACCCAGCCATGTATCCGTCTTTACACTTGGCAGGAGAAACAGCACCAAGAAGTGTCTTTGTCCTTGTGCAATTACAATTAATAGGCCATATGATTGTTCACACTTCTCGCAAACAGTAAAAGCTAATTACTAGCTGCAAATAATAAGGATGTCAACTAAAGTCTCAGTACTGGAACTGTATTTCTACAGTTTGGTGAGAATATCACCACTTATATGCCCATGTGAAAGAATCCCTATCAAAGCCCATTCTCTCTCACCTTTGAAAGAGATTAGAAATACTATAAATATACTCAAAAGCTGAAGAACAGCTACTCTTTTCACTTAGGTTTTGCTTACAAATAAAGCAAGGGGCCAGAAAGCTATTTACAGCAAAAGAAACTAAGATTACTTAACATATTCATATACTCAAATTGCTCATCTTTTTTTCCACTTAAATAACTTTTCTGGCTATGCTTTTAAAGGGAAAGGGCAGTTGGAAATAGCATTATTACTCAGCTCCATAAATTGGGTTTCTTAGAATCCAATGCTGAAAAGGACCCTAGAGATAATTAAGTCCAACCCTCTCACTTTACGGTAAGAATTCTGAGGTTCAAGGTCACAAAAATAGTAAGTGGCAGAGTGGTTGAGCTCAGTGGTTGAGCATTGATCTATAAACCGGAAGGTCACAGTTCGATTCCTGCACGTTGCAAATCAGTGATATATAAATGTCCGGCACCTTGGTACAAATATAAACAAAACAAAATCATCTATCTGCCTTGAAACAAGCTTTTCCTATTCAGATGACTAAAATAGCTTCTACAAAGTATCTCTTCCATCTAAAACTATGAAGAACCTGACAGGTTAGCCTGCCCTGGCTTCATGGATTGTGGCAGAGATGAGACTGTTGGGTCAGAGACAAAGCACCTTATTTCTCACAGCACAACAAGCAGCATTGCCCACATAGCTCTGTCGGTCAGGGCACATGCCTGGGTTGCTGGCTCGGTCCCCAGTGTAGCGTGTGCAGGAGGCAGCCAATCAATGATTCTCTCTCATCATTGATGTCTCTCTCTCTCTCTCTCTCTCTCTCTCTCCCTTCCTCTCTGAAATCAATGAAAATATATTTTAATAAATAAATAAATAAAAATATCCAGTGTTGGTCATACTATAAATAGACAATGAATTAAACAAATTTAAACACAAGTCTATATTGGAATTGGAGTAGGTAATTAAAGAAAAAATTTCCCATCTAGTTATATTATTTTATCTCAATGATTTTATTTCTCATGTTCTTTCAGGGGCTGAATGTTTACTAATTACTACATACTAGGCTACTGGCTAACTACCTGAATAGTTACTATAAAGATGACATTTGAGACAGCTATTTCGGCTTCATTTAGGCACACTGACAGAGCAAACTCCCAGTATGCAAGTATTCTACACATGATGGGAACCCCTATACCAACCCTCTCCCGGAGCCAAACTTCCCCTCTGAGATGCTAGTGTGTGTGACTAAAAACAAAGGTGAGGGACAAATTGATGATCATGGAGGGGGTTGGGTCAGACTGCCTGTTGCCCACATTACCTTTATAAAAAGTAAAAAAAGTATTTTCTGCACTTTGCAAATCAGTGATATATAAATGTCCGGCACCTTGGTACAAATATAAACAAAACAAAATCATCTATCTGCCTTGAAACAAGCTTTTCCTATTCAGATGACTAAAATAGCTTCTACAAAGTATCTCTTCCATCTAAAACTATGAAGAACCTGACAGGTTAGCCTGCCCTGGCTTCATGGATTGTGGCAGAGATGAGACTGTTGGGTCAGAGACAAAGCACCTTATTTCTCACAGCACAACAAGCAGCATCGCCCACATAGCTCTGTCGGTTCCCCTGACTTCCAAGTGTTCCTGAGGGTGAACCCAGATGCATTCCTGCATAGATGGGGTTACATTGCAGGAGAGGGGCCTCTGAGCTTAGGGAAGCTGAGTCTTTTGTGGCCGTCGGCCTGCTCGTGTTTTGCTCTGGAAGCAGACACTATCTCTACCTTCCAAGGTTACTCACTGTAAAAACAGCCTTGAAAAGATAGTTCAGGACAAAGAGAGTACCTCTGCTTGGAACATATGCATCAAGGCCAGCGGCCTTGGGAGAGTATCTGCAACATTCCCCATCTCCAGCCTCTGCTCTCTCTAATGCATCGTACACAATACCTAGGTTCATCTTCCTAAAGCAGCACTGTGCTCTCATCTGTCTCTTCTCTCCTAGCTGTCAATGTTTCCCCACCAAATACATCATCAAATCAACCTTCTTAGCCTGCATAACGTGGCCTCACCTTCCCTGCAGGCTTAAGGCTCACTGCTCAGCCTTAGCACCAGTCATAAGAGAGCTCACCTCTCCCCAAATGCCAGTGGCCTTACCCAGCTCCAGGCCTCTTCTGCTTCAGCTCCTTCCTCAGTCTGAAGCCCATCCCCCTCCTCTGTGTCTGCTGTGTTCTGGTTGTTCTTTACGCTCTCACCTACTTCATGAGGCTTTTCCTAAAAGAATATTCATTATTCTGTTCCCAGGCTGCTACCTGCTTGCATCTTATTTGGATCTTACTCCGGCGGGATGTGAATGAGTGTTTCTTGTGAGTGTGCCATCTCCCTTGCCTTATTGCAATACCCCCAAGAGGGAGGGACTGTGCTTGCACTTTCTGATTGCTCACAGCACGAAACATGGTGTCTGGTATATATCAAATCCCCGCTTATTCTGATAATTGGGTTGAAGTTGATGTCACTGCTTCCTAAAATCCAAAAAGGTAGATGGCAGAGATAAGTGACCCTCTTCCTCTTCTGTACCCCCTGATGGAAGGAAGACTGTAGAACCATCTTCTATGCCCCTCACTTGTGCTATTCTGTTTTCTTTGCTATATAAGTTGAACCACAAGTACGAATAAATGCCATTATCTGTTCACACCTTCTAGTGACATGGGGGGAGTTTCTGCACTTTGCTTACCATCCGCAGTGGAGCCCTGGGAGCAGAAGGTGGGCATTGGCTGTAGAGCGCCTGTTAGCCTTGCTGGACATTGTAGTAAGTCCCATACCTATACGCTCTACTGGGCACCTGCTAATACAAATATCAGTTATGTGAAGGCTGGGCTCTTTAAGACTTTGATTCAGTTACAGCCTTCATAACAAGTGCTGGCAGGAAAAGCCTTCTGTGTACTTAGATCTGCCCCCAAACTAGTTAGCTTAATAGTACAAGCTGATGCACTGGTAGTTTCTGGGGTGTGGAAATTGGTGCATAACCAATTTTAGAAAGTATCCATTTTTTTTAAAGTTTGAAAATTGTTTTTCAATAAAAATATTTTAATAATTAAAGCAAGCATGTCAAAAGCATCTAAGATTCTGGGAATTCAGCTGAAATGAATGCCACAGTTCTACAGTGAGAGCTGCATAGCCCATTAAGATTTCCCTTTTGCTTTTCTTGATCTCATTTATCCACAGAACAAAACTGAACAGCACTGTGATTTCCATTTTAGCAATTCATTCTTCTCTCCCTCCCTCCCTTCCTTTCTTCCTTCCTTCTTCCCTCCCTTCCTTCCTCCCTTCCTTCCTTCCTTCCTTCCTTCCTTCCTTCCTTCCTTCCTTCCTTCTTTCTTTCCTTTGCAGCAAATGGGTAATCTAAAGCTAAGGAACCTGATATATCTTACACTGTGTCACCCACAGAGCAGGTGAAAACACAGCAAGAAAAAGCATAAATTCCTGCTTCTCTGCCACTGGGTATCATGCCACCCAAATTATCTCAGTGCTTTGCAGACAGTCCTGGGTTGGCATGTGACCGACATTTATGACTGCCACTGACAGCTTCCCCATGGTTCTACATTTAACAGAGCAACATACCTGCATAGTGGCCACCTTGTGAACAGAAGCTTTCCATTCACTCCAGGTGAGCTGTGTAGGTCTGTAAACACAGCAGAGAGCAATGAGATTGTGGCTCTATGTGCCTGAGGTGCTATTTTTGAAAGACAAGTTAAATACGTGTTGTCCTTGTGGTTGCTGCTGATCTGAATGTTATCTGGGGGACTCTAGGCTACAAGCTGCTACACCTGTTCATTAATCCAGGCCCCAGCCAGCTGAATGTGCAGTGTGGGAGGTAAACCATTGCTGTGGATGGAGACCTCTCAGGGAACCACAGGTTGAAAGGAACTTGGTTGCCTTTTAGTAACACTGGCTCTCTTGTGAAGGGTGAGTTATTTTTGGTTTTCTCTTCCTGACCTGCTCTGTTGACATTTCAAGTTGACAAACCTTGTCTTCAGTGAATCCTACTTCCTCTAAAATAGTCTAATTCCTTCTCTCCTGTCTTTGAAAGTATTTTCCCTGTGCACAATAAAACCAGAGAAAAGGTATTTACTATTAACTACATAATAAGACTAAGGTGTTAGTGGTTTAATATTCTATGGCTTTCAGAATATTTTTAAGAAGAGATACATCAGAGAAAAAGTAATAATATTTACTGAGCAATGACTACGGTATGTACCACATTTTATCTTACATAAACTTTACAACATCTTATTTGTTGGTGTCATTAGCCTCATTAGTCTGGAAAATTGAAATTCAAAGAGGCTAAATGTTATCACCCATACAGTTAAGTATGAGCAGTTGGGAGTCAATAGAGGGATCCATGCTTTTAACCCTGTACCACAGCAACTCAACCTGTCTTTAGGATGAATTGCTTTAAAAAACAAAATTGGTAGAGAAGGGAGCTAGGAACTACAACATCCTAAACTGTTATTTACCTCTGGCAAAAAATATACACTCTATGCCTAAACTGTCCAATACTATAGCCACTAGCCACATGTAGCTATCTAAATTTAAATGTCAATTAAAATTAAGTAAAATGAACACTGTAGTTGATCAGTTGCTCTAGGCACATGTCAAGTGCTCCATGGCCACATGTAACGACTGGTTACTGCCTTGAACAGTACAGATATAGACATTTCTGTCCTCTCAGAAGTTCAACTGGATAAAGCTCTAAACTGTTTTGTACAGGGTAAAAAGTAAGATAGATTCTGTCTATTTTTAAAAATCTATAGCAATACCAAAGTGAAAATAAGCAGTGCATGTATGTGAGAGAGCGGGGGAGGGAGAGGTTTTCTGTCTTGAAGAGAGGAGGGATAAAATGAAGGGAAGAAGAAAAAGAAAGAGCAAAGAAGTCTTTCAAATGATAATGGGGGCATTTACCACAGGCTTCCTTTTGGATGGAGGGGTGATGCAAGACATATTGGGGCTCCTAGAGAAATACTTGCTGGTAAAAGTAAACAAACTGTACAAAGAAGGCCTTAAGAGATGAACTCCAGGGGCTTCTGCTTCTGGCCTTGCTCCTTGAAACAACCCACAAAAGCAAAATATCCAAAACCACTATTTTCAAAACACTAGACATCAGAAAACAAAGGACAATGATCTCTGGAAAAAAGGAAAATAGATTAAGTAAATGCTACAATTGCCCCAGGTTATAGCTTGAAAGGGATTCCAAGTCCTGGGTGAAGAAGAGGGAACCCAGGCAGATCCGCACAGATAACCTGAGTTGGGGAGACCAGCTGAATGTCCCAGAGACCAGGGCAGATGCGGCTGCAAGACAGAACTCTGCCTGGAGAGAGAGATGCACAGACCTGCAGAGGGCCTGCTTCAAGAATCCAGCAGAGCACTGGTCAGCACATGCTTGTGAGGCAGCCTTTCAAAGCTGGCCATGCCTTTCCACGGGTGGCCTACATGGTGAGTGATATGAGTGAGTCAGGAGTCCAAACCTGGAGCCACTCTGATGGGCATTATTCACCCCAGAGCTACCCGCAGCTCGCCTGAAGTGCTGTGAGAATTTCACCGAACATTTTCACCTCCCCTCCACTCAGTCTGGTCTCTACCCATCTCCTTGAACAGGTTTGATCCCTAATAAACATCTTAAATGCCAAACTTCATCTCGGGATATGCTTCCAGAGGAGCCCACCTGTGACAGAAGGAGACAACTATAAGATGACAGCTGGTTCAAATGTGGCTTAAACAATGGTATGGATGGTGGTACAATTTACTGAGATGAGAATTCCTTTGAGTAAAATAGGATAAGTGTGTGAATATGTGAGGTGGATAGAGTCTGTTTCATTGCATTATGTTTAAGATACCTATTAGATATCCAAATAGCGATGTGAAGGCAGCCAGCTATGTGATTCTGGACCTCAACTGAGAAATCAGAGCCTGGGATAAAAATATAAATATCATCAACACTCAGACCTGGAACTGGGTTGAAAGTCTCCCAGAATGCTTAAAAGCACATTAGACATCCCCCGGGTATTATCACAGATAGGCTGGGGCAAAATAGGTTTACAGTTGTTTGTATGGAAAATAATACAATCGATATATATAAAAGGCTAATATGCAAAATGTCCACTTAGGAGTTCGACTGCGAGACCGGGGAGTTCAATCGCTCACTATGACGTGCGCTGACCACCAGGGGACAGCGTGGAACGATGGAAGGCCCCAGCTGGCAACCAGAAGGCCCTGATTGCTGGCCAGGCTGAGGGAACCTACCCATGCACCAAGCCTCTAGTAATTAATAAATAGCAATACAAGAATAAACTCTGTTTTGCATACTCACAACTATATGCTTACTTTTGCCCCACTCTGTATTTAACTGAATAAAGGAAGTTCTTGATTATATGGATTTTTTGAAACACTAAGTATGCTACTCCTTTTGGGGGATACTCAATGCATGTTTATTATCAAGGCAAAGTTTGGAAAAATTCTTCCATAAAGAAATCTACAGGTTTTATTTTGTTTTTTCATTCAAAATTCTCAATATTTTTTCTTTTTTACTTTTTGACAATAGGAACTTTTTTGAGAGTAAATATATTAAAATTTTTCTCCTGAATCACAGTTTGAAATTGTTGATCTCTAGACTAAAAGTCCAACATAAATGTTCATATTGATTCTGACATACAAAAAATAGACATTATAAAATTCTACATTTGTCTATGTTTATATAGACTATACCTTTTAGTCTGTACTTTTTCAAAACTAAAACTCCATCATTTCCAGCACATTCTGGTCATGTTAGTAATACCTGTGCAATTGAGAATACAGACTATTGCTAAATGGTATCTTACTACTGAGCAGACTTTTTAAAAAGGTAATTGGCTAAATTAAAATTTGCATGCTGGTAGATTTACATCCTTCCCTGTATTACAATGAAGAGGTGAGTTTACCTGTGGTTGTTTTCCATTTTAAGCTTCTTGTCTGAAGCTCTGGGGACACCCATATTTCTTACTACTCATCATAATGTCAAACTTGTGGATTAATGAAATAATTGTCCTTAAGCTTCCACAGATTTTGTATGAAGCCTGGCATTTAATAGTGAATATACTCTTAAGTGGAAATTTTCAACCTTTTTTTATCTCATAGCACACATAAACTAAGTACTAAAATTCTGCAGCACGCCAAAGAAAAAGTTTTATATTTTTTGCTGATCTGACAAAAAAAATAGGTATAGTTTTGATTCATTCACAACCAATAGCAATTGTTGTGTTGGCTGTTGTTGTTGGTGGTGGGGGGGGTGTGTGTGTGTGTGTGTGTGTGTGTGTGTGTGTGTGTGTGTGTTTTACAATCTAAGGGAAAAAAGGTGAGTGCCCCTGACTAAATAATCAGGTACTTCATGTTTCAAAATTCTTGTGACACACCCGTGCGCCTCCTGTGATACATCGGTTGAAAATTGCTGCACTAAGCCTTTCAAAGAGACGATTAATTATTGAGAAATGTGAAAAACAGACAAAAATAAAATGCATTATCATAGGATAGCCAGCTTTAAATCTGAAAGCCCAAGGGACCCTGAGAGGACATATATGAAAATCAAGATTTTTTTCTAAATAGAATTCATTAAGTCCAGGGAAGGGTAACCCTAAAGTATAAAGTGTGTCCCAGCCCTAGCTGGTTTGGCTCAGTAGATAGAGTGTTGGCCTGTGGACTGAAGGGTCCCAGGTTCTATTCTGGTCAAGGCACATGCCCGGGTTGCAGACTTGATTCCGTGTAGAAGGCAACAGATCAATGATTCTCTCACATCATTGATGTTTCTATCTCTCTCTCCCCCTCTCCTTTGTTTCTATCTCTTTCTCTCTCTCTCCCTCTCTTTTCCTCTCTGAAATCAATAAAAATATA